AAAGGATTGATGGCGGGACATGCACTCTCCGGAATTTGTTTTCATGGGACAGTCTGATGTTTTGAATAAAATGTTAATGTTATGAATTTTGAAAACAATGGTCAATGTTACTTTGCACATTATGGGAATGTTTGGTTAATTAAAAATGAAAAATTTATTTGAAAAATTTGGTCGTTACAATATTTTCTGTCCCCTTTTTCTTTCTTATTACTTCCTATTAATTCTTTTACGGGTGTTGCATGTTTTTTCACTGTTGTTGCATGCTTTTTCATAGGTTCCTGCACCACTTTTCCCTAAAAAAATATAAAAAACAGAATGAAAAAGGAAGCTGGAAACAAAAACATGTTTGTTGCATTTGGTGTGAAGTGAACCAGGAAATAGGAATCACAAGAATGGAATGAACACACTCAATTATAAGAAAATATCAGGAAACAAAAGCATGTCTGGTGAATCATTTACTGAAGCTGAAAATGAACTCACTCAAATATCAGAAAAATTAAGAAAACCAAGGGTATTTTCGATATATAATGAAATGGAATCACAAGAATGGAATGAACACATAACGAGATCATGGAATTTGCCTAAAAAATCCATGGTTAAGAGACAAGCTTATTTTGCCTAAAAAATCCATGGTAAAAATTTGACAATGAAGGGTTGACTTTTGATCTTGAATCCGACAGAGGGAACATTTCTATTTCTTTGACTTATATTAGAACATCTGAGCTTACTTATGAACAGTTAATACAAAGTTCTTTAAGATCTTTCTTATTATATATAGTTTTTCAGGTAACTCTTACAAATCAGTTTCTACTGACTATGTTGAGAGAGCAAATAACATTAAATCTGTGTAAATGGTATGCGTAAAGAGTATTAACAGGTCAGAGCATCGAATAACTAAGTGTCTCGACCAACTTAGTATGTGCCCAAGTGCATCTTTAACCTTCACAATGTACTCCTCTTCAAGTGGAATAGGTCGTAAAGCTTTTTCTTGTAAGATTGTTTCCATCATAACTTGAATGTTTTAATATATTACGTAAAGGTAAAAAGTTATTAAGATCCAATTTTCTAAAAAAATGAAAATATATAAAGTAGTAATAATGCTGATTTTCATAAGACCCGAGGCACTATACTTCATTATTGATCCTTTAGCGAATACATTTGCGGCAAAGTCTACCACAAGAAGACATGAATTATCCAAAAAGTATAGTATGTTAGTTTGTAGAAAGAAAATACTTTAAAAATATGCATTTATACCCAGGACTTACAAGCGATTCTTCCGGTGGTTCTTTTTCAACATCTTCAAAAATGCCCCATATTTGGCAACTTGAGCGTGTGGAAACATTACATACACCTCTTTTTAGTTTCTCTAAGTCATCTTCAATTTTGTTGATTCATTTATCCATCCTCTCGTTCTCAATCTCCAAGTAAAGCTTATCATTCTTCGGTAAATAAAAGTATTGATGTGGCGTTATAAATTTACCCATCCCTCGTACATGCCCATGTTGTTCCTCAGTACCTAAGGCCTCTGTAAGCACATCATGTTTTCCACATATAATCTCTCCAAAACTTCCTGAATTCTGTGTAGAAACCACCACTTTGTTCTCTTCAACGTGAAAAAGAAGCATCTTGTTACATGTTGCCAAAAGTTTAAAAGGTAAAAATAAAAAAAAGTAATTGTGCATAATAAAACAAAAAATGGAGAACCAATGGGATCGATGGTTATGTTAGGAATCGGACCGGGTACACGCAGCGGAAACACACTATCAGACACACACAAACTCACGAGAAAATAAAGCAAGAAGGAACACAAGGATTTTACGTGGTTCAGATTCGGTGCAAATCCTACGTCCACGGGCTGCAACTAGAGATTTTAGTATTATGAGAAGATTACAATTATGATGACACTCTACACTTGATGTTCTCTCAAGTTTTTTGCACACTATATTCAATAGACAGAGGGTTATAAATAGCCTTACATAGACACCAAAGAAACAGAAAGACAAAAGCAATAAGATACTACCTAGTTAGTCAAAAATGAAGGCTAACATAATCTTTGGTAATATGAAATTCTACCCACTAATTTGGACTACTGCCAACTAGCTTTTACATTGATCAACAATTTTCTACGGCCATCTTCTTTGACCACCTTTTCCTTCACCTATTTTCTCCACCAACCAACAATCTCCCACTTGGAGAAAATAACCCAATAATTCTCCAGTAATCTTAAAACAACCAAGTCTTCCAAGCCTCCAGTTCCCAAGAACAAGCTAAACTTAGTCCAATTTCTCTAATTGCAGCCGCCACTCATCTTCAAGTACTAGAAGGGCCAGTTGAAGCTCCCACTAGCTCCAACTCAGTCGTGGCTAATCCCACCACCGACTCATCCTCTGTCTCAACCGGTTTGGACACTCCACCAGATCCAGAGATACACCGAGGACCAATAACACTCTCCAAACTTAGCAAACTTCCAACAGGAGAGAATTTTTCAGTCTTAGTCTTCAAAACCCAACGGCTCTTTGTAACTGTACCCGGAACACACCCCGTGCTCCCACTGTCATAGAATCTCCTGACTGGTTTAGACTTTCCGACTCGTTCAGCTAACATCCCCTTGGCTCCAGAATTCATGTTTGCAAAATGAACTCTCTTAGCCGTAGATTTAGCGAACCAGATTTTGTCTTGCTTAACAGGGACGGTCATACTTCCCTCAGCAGGTACCTCAACCATATACAATGACCCACACTTCATACCATGAGCAATCACCAGATTATCATTGACCACCCTCCATTTACCACCACCAAACCTTACTTCCAGTCCTTGTTTATCCAGCTGACCAATAGAAATCAATTTCTTTTTCAGCTCCGGAATAACCCTGACATTCTTCAGGCTCCATGTAGTTCCCAATTAAGTAACTAGATCAATATCTCCCATGCCCGTTACTTGAAGCATCTCGTCATTTGCTAACCGTACCTTTCCAAAATCTCCTTTTTTTAGATTCACCATCGTTTCCCCGTTGTCCATGGCGTGAAACGAAGCCCCTGAATCCATGACCCAAGAGTCTACAGAACTTTCCATACTGAGTATCAATGCATCATCCTCAGACACACTCTCAGCACCGGCAATGTTCAATTCTTTCTTTGGACATTGACTCTTAACATGTCCCACCTCCTGGCAGTTCCAGCACTTCACATTCTTCTTAGTTCTAGATGAACTTTTTCCCCGACTCCCACTGCTTCCACTATTCCTGCTATTCCCTCTACCTCTTCCGACATTTAATAAATCAGAAGAGGAAGATCCACCTTGATTCTTGCGTCTGATATCCTCGCCTAGAACCAAATCTCTAACCCCTTCAAAAGTCATACCACTGGTCCCCACGAAACTCGTAACAGCAGTAACTGTTCCGGACCAGCTATCAGGTAGAGAAGCTAGTAGCAGTGATGCTTGAGTCTCGTTATCAAATTTAATTCCCACAGATGATAATCTGGACAGAATTGAATTTAGATTATTAATGTGAACCGTAACTGAGCCTTCCTCATTCATCCTTGTAGTGAACAACTCCTTCATCAAGAACACCTTGTTAGCTGCCGATGGTTTCTCATACATATTTGACAGAGCCTCCATCATACCACGCGCCGTGGTTTCATTCATGATGTTGAAAGCAACGCTCTTCGTCAATGACAATGTAATAACCGCCTTGGCTTTCTTGTCCTTTGAGTTCCACGCATCTTCAACAGCTTTTTCCATTTTCTCCGGTTTGTCTCCGAGTACCACGTCCAAGTCTTTCTGACATAGTAATGCTTCTAATTGCATTTTCCACCAGCTAAAATCAGAACCGTTGAACTTTTCGATTACAACCTTGTCTTCAGCCATTACGACAAACAAGATACAAATCAGGTACACTCGTGCGTGAAAAAAAAATGATTGTACCCTCCAAAACCTCGCTAACCTGTCTCTGATACCAGTTGTTAGGAATCGGACCGGGTACACGCAGCGGAAACACACTATCAGACACACAGAAACTCACGAGAAAATAAAGCAAGAAGGAACACAAGGATTTTACGTGGTTCGGATTCGGTGCAAATCCTACGTCCACGGGCTGCAACTAGAGATTTTAGTATTATGAGAAGATTACAATTGTGATGACACTCTACACTTGATGTTCTCTCAAGTTTTTTGCACACTATATTCAATAGACAGAGGGTTATAAATAGCCTTACATAGACACCAAAGAAACAGAAAGACAAAAGCAATAAGATACTACCTAGTTAGTCAAAAATGAAGGCTAACACAATCTTTGGTAATCTGAAATTCTACCCACTAATTTGGACTACTGCCAACTAGCTTTTACATTGATCAACAATTTTCTATGGCCATCTTCTTTGACCACCTTTTCCTCCACCTATTTTCTCCACCAACCAACAGGTTACACTGCACTGCATTGCATAATATCAAAATGATTTTAATAGTGTTTTAACTTAAGTCTACACTATACATTGTTTAATTATAACTATGAGTTTTTTATTTACAAAATGAAAGATTAAACATAATAAAAAAGCTCATTGCTTATGTTTATAGGACTCCAAAGCTCAAGTAACTACAATTCACCTCATAATTGGAACCCTTCAAAGGACACATATATTTGATGTGGAAAATAGAGACACCTTGACACATAAAGCCACATGTCTAATAACAAACACAATTCAAACACAATCATATTTATCCAATTTCCACTATTTTTTAAACTAAAAATCTATTCTTTATTTTTCTTCAATGTTTAGTATTCTACTAAACTTTTGAAAAAGCTAGATTTGTGCAGAGTTGTGTATGCATGCTCATGTCTGTTTTGGGTGGATGATTAGGATGGAATCAAGGATGGAGAAAGGTATTCCATTCCTCTTTTTTTGGAATTGACACAATCGTCATTACATTCCAATTCCAATTCCAGTTCTAGGGTTTTCCTTTTCCTTTAACGTGCATTAAGGATTGCAAATGTTGCACATCAAATGATAAATGTTGCATGTGGTAGCAGTGGGCTCGTTACTCTCTTTGTTGAAATAATCAACAAGTAAGTAGCATCCTACTGTTATTTCTTTATATTATAAGATTTTTACTTATTATATAAATGGTATTATCCAGTTATTTGTATTATTTTGAGAAAGGGAATCCACAGATAACAAGTGTTGCAATCCAAGGGCTGATAGAGCTGATCAAAACTGAAATGCAAAGTGACACGGAGACACTTGATCAACACACTGATGCTTTCTTTACTTGTACCTTAAGGTACATACAGTTCCAGAAACAAAAAGGTGGGGCCATGGGTGAGAAGTTTGATACTATCAAACTTTTATAGCAACACTTAGTTTGTTTTCTTTTTTATATTTGTATAATTTGAGTATCCATGTTAAGAGCATATGTTTGAATAACACAAAGATCTGGTTTTCTAGAAATTTTACCTTGTGTTCAACTTGAGAAGCTTCATAAGGTAAGAAACCCTTGAATGTGTTCAATTTAGCATCATATTCATGGCTAGAAGGCACCTATTCCCCTTGTGTTGACTTTCTCCTGCTCTTTCTCTTCTATTACCAGGTTCTCTGGTCAACCGAGGAAGTTGACTTTGCGTGAATCGTTTCAACAGGAACACCAAGCTCAATAAGTGACTTCTGTAATAACTTAATCGGACCTAAGGCATGTAAATTTGAGCAGTCTCCAACGAGGTCAGGTGAGCCCAAGGTCGTAGGCGAGGAGAAGTCATCTGAAGGAGAAGTAACCTAACGTTGTCGGAGGAGAGGTGGTCGGCAAGGTGAGGCGGGGTGAGGCAAGGTCGCAGAGCCGATCGATTGTGGAGAGTATACTGACTGAGTGAGTGTTTTGAGTTTTTTTCAAAAAATCCCTAGAATATTAGTAGTACTTGCGATTTTTGTAACAAGGGACACACATTTCATTAAAATTATAAAACGACAGTTATAGAGGACGCGCGTTTAAGATAAATCACCCTCCGTGTTTTTAATTTTTTCTTGAGACACTAATTTAAGGGCACACAATAATGCATGATCTAAATCCTTAAATTTTTTGGAGAGATGAAACTATTTTAAGGTCACTCTCTTTTGCGTAACACAAATCCGTGTGTGTTGTGGTTTGCGTGTCATTAAAGACATCTATTCTAGTAGTGCATGTTTGGTTCCTCTAGAATGATATCCTCACCCACATCAGATCCTGATCCAGGACAAATTGTTCCAATGAATGGAATTAAGTGATAATCATTTGAGCGTCTCGATGTTTCTGGGAGAATCTCTTCGATCACATAATTATTTCTCAAGTCGTGAAGTTTCCAAAAGTGACATTAGATCTCTGCAGGGTAGGTCATGTCATTAATTGGGAAATAAAAGGTCCTGTCAGGTGGGACATATGTGTGTTCAGCATCAAACCGTGGTGGAGATTTCTTCCTGGTGTTGTATCCATTTGACCAACCCGAATTATAGGTATTGTCTACAGATCCGTTATTGACAAGATTTTTCATTGCTTAACTTTCATTAAAGAACTTTTCTATTAATTGATTCAAAGGTACAATTTCAGCTAAGGTTAAATCCCATTGATTGAAAGCAAGATCTAACTGAGTTTCACTAAGCAACCTAACATCTTTCTCTAACTTCAAATCTATTTCTAACATACTGCCCTTAAGCTTGTTGTCTTCTAGTATTCCTCTCAAGTGATACAACTCTTGGGTCGCTATGTTCTTTTCATCTTAGGCTTTTGTTATAATCTGAAAGGACGTCAACAACATTTGAGTAAGTTTTTCTAGATGTGGTTCACAATCATGCATGTTATAACCGTTTGACTGAATCATAAATTTTACATATTCAACGATGCTGGTGTTTCCTTTCTTTTCCATGAAGCAGTATGTCTTCTTCAACTTTGTGGACCTCTCTTCGGTGTCAACACTTTTTCTTGCAACAAGACAAAACTTGCCTCGCTTTGTCTTGTTATCGTTTTCATCATCTTCATCTCTCGATTACCATACTTGATGGAATCTTCTTACTTGTGCTACAAAAGCTTTTTCGATTTATTTCTCTTTGTCTTCAACCTCCTGGGCCATTCTAAGGTAGAATGCTTTGTCCTTCACTATGTTTGCTTTACAGTCTACAGCAAAGGGATTTTCTTTGTGATATTTATGGCATATGAGAACTCTATCTCTCTTCTCTTTGGTATCTTATACTGTCACACCCCGAAACCAAGGATGGCGGAAACGTCCGGGGGTGGAGGACTTCATGTATAGTATCACAACAATGAGTATAATAGTGCTCAAAGTAAATACAACCATCATAAATATAATTGAAAAGGTTACACCATAGTATATGTTTACATGTTTCAAAATCAATTACATTATGATGACAAAATGAACTGTTTGACGATTTAACGTCCCATCCTCAAGATGTTGTTGATTTCCTGTTTCACTGATTTTCTGAGAATACAAGTAGTTTTGAAAAAGTGTCAACAATTAAGTTGGTGAGTTCATAAGAGTTTTATTTGAGAAAGAAGTCGTTTTCCCTGTAAAAGCGATAGAGTATGATTCCAGAAAATCCAATATTTTCTTTATTAAGTGTGAAATGAAAGCTCCTATGTTATGCAATAATGTATCCTAGAAAGACCCGTAGATTCCTTCTATAATCACCCAGTGTATATAAGTTATATAAAATTTAAGTTAAATAAACCGTCGAATATAACGGGTTTGCCTTAGGTCCACAACCAAACAAGGAACAGGAAGTAAGGCGGGCCCACCAATTCTATGTTGATTGTGACTAGATTCTTATATAACTCTAGCATATACACTTAGCAATTATAGCTGAAGTCTAACAATTCTAGATGAGATGTACTGTTAATAGAAATGTGATTCCAAAGAAAATCCAATATTTTCCTTATAAAAGTCATGTAGTCCTAAATTCCAGGACCGAGAGTATGAGTGTGTTTTATACTTATAACGTGTCTGTAGTTTTAAATAGATAAAACCCCTTTTTAAAGTAGAATTTTCCCTGTAAACTTGAAAGATTGTTAACTCCCTATGTGAGTCGTTATAACCATACTACGACCGGATGACCTGCTGCGACGTTCTTCAGACGTCGGAATGTTAATGACATTTGTCACCCCCGATCGGCCGATCGGACTTATGCAAGCAGCAAGGGTGTGGGTTGTCAACCCCAATATAGATCTATACACAATTATCATGCTCTCCCTACAAGAGACTCTGGTTATAACTAATTCAGGAATTTTTAACCAGTAGTCAAAGAGTACAATGAAGACGTGTCTCACAATTTACGTTAACTAGTTTACGTATAGTTTGAGTATTAAACCCCTTCCGTGGTGGAAGTGAAATCACCTTTTATGAAAATACATTAGTGATATGTATCCATAAACTATTACTATTATAGTTTATCAAGTAGTATATGAAAAAACCCATTTGTTTTTAGAGTAAAACCTTTTCCATGTAGTATGCTTTAATCGAAAATTCATAAACTATACTTAATGTAGTTTATTATATGTGTTCGAAATGAATGGAGGAAAAACCTTAACATGAATGACTAATTTCTGTTTATGATGGTAAACTCATAAGAATGCATCCAAACATTTAGAAACTTATTGTTATGCACTTTGCTCAACATACTACAAAGTGTTGTTAATATGGTAAGCTATGTAACTAGTTTTTAACCTTTCTGCATTGTTTTAAAACTATCATAGAAAAATCATACGAAGTTGAAAACTGAATCCGTAAACTCTGAGAGTTCATAAAATGTGTGTAGTTTATTCATAATTTTTATTATAATTTTTAGAAGTCTTTAACTTGTGTGAAAACGTTCATATTCACAGACTGGTCCGAATTCGTTTCTGAAATGATAGGTCGTTTTGTAAAAATCACCATAAATCGTAGAAAATTCGTATGTAGATGTGCAAGTAGTCATTTTAAAGGTATGAACCTGACCTATTTGAACATTAAACAGTTTTGAAAGATATTAAGTTTAAGATAGTCAAAACAGTCCGTGAATGGAACTAAACTTTCCTGTTGGAAGCTGATGTTTGAGATTTGTTAAGTTTTGGTATTTTAACTTGTATTCCCCCCCCCCCCTAAAACTTGAAGAAAACATGAAAATGTGGGGGTATGAACTCACCTTGAGTGATTTCAGTAGATGGATGATGAATAAAAGGAGTGTTCAACTCAAGAACACTTGGGAGATGCTTGAAGATTCGAAGATCTAACAACAAATATGATGATATTTGTGTAAGGAACCCTTGATTTGAGTGAAGAAGTGTAAGGAAAACAAGTGAGGGATGAAATATCTTACCAAAGGTGGATAAGAAGCCTTAGAACTCCTGGAGAATTCGAGATTTTGGAGAGAAAGGAGAGAGAAAAGTGTGTTAGTTTATGGTGGGAGTGAAAGAGATCTAGGAGATTGTGAGATGTATTTACTCTTTATGTGGATGAAGGAAGCTTGTGGGGGAAGGATAAAAGTACAATGAGTGGACAAGGCTGATGTGAATAGTGACTGAGGGTGTCATGGAGTGGGTATGGGAGGTAGCTTGTGTCTTTGCTTTATGGAAAAGTCAACACTCCACCTTTTGTACTTTGCCTTTGACCTTAAGAAAAGTGTGGGATTTAATACAAGAATCCTTAGAATAGGCATATTTTATGATCTTGGAAGGTTAAAAATAATAAAATAATGATTTATACGAAAATCTCGTGCGAAAATCATCGAAAACGGGCTTAAAACGTGAAAGTAGTTGAAAACCGGGCAAAGAGGCGAAGTCTGCGAGGATCCGAGGTCAGCAGTGCAGGTTCGGTCCTAGAAGGCCGAGGACCGAAGGGAGGTTCGGTTGTATGAGGACGACCGAAGGCGAAGTTCTCAGGAGTGAACTTGTCAGAAGCGAAGTTGGGCGAGGAGGAACCGAGAGCGAAATGGACCGAACCCGAAGGTGACTTCGGTTCTTAAGAGGCTTCGGTTCTAGGGGTAGCTTCGGTCCCATCAGCAGAGTTCGGTCCTCCTAGTTCGATTCTTAAGGCTTTTCGGTCCAGGATGCTTCTTAGGGTTTCGCCTCTAAGAGGTTCGGCTCTAAGAGGGTTCGGCCCTAAATGGCTGTTTTTCAAATAAACTTCCCGTTTTGCGCGGTTTCTGACTAAGTTAAGGGTCGGGATGCCCCAAATGATTTTAAAAAGTTGAGGGAGGTTATGAGAGAGATTTGGGAGAGATTTCACATACTTGGAGAGATTTGGGAGACATTTCACATACTTGGAGAGATTTGGGAGAGATTTCTCATACTTAGAGAGATTTGGGAGAAATTTCACATACTTGGAGAGATTTGGGAGAGATTTGAGATAGAGAGAGATAGAGCGAGAGAGGTTTGAGAGAGACTTTGTTTGTGACCTTTTTGGATGTTTAGCTTTGCCACGCAAGGTTTGTAAATCCCGTTAAGCCTCGTTATGAATGTTATACGCCCTCGAGGGGTATGGAATAATGTGTTGTCAAGTAGTTTCATCACTTACCCTGATTAGGTTTTAGAATTTCCGAACACGTGAAAAATCTAAGTGATACTTTGTATTAAGATCGCGAGTTGTACAATAGGAAACATAACGGAAACCATAATATACAAGGGTTAGATGAGTTGACC